ACTTGTAAGTCCACTCACTTGTACCTAGACATCCACAGTGAGGTGAGGGAGCAAAGCAAGGCCCAGACAGGCATGCTCCTTCAAGCAGCCAACACTGTGAGAAGGGGCCAGGCAGGAAGACCCTTGCTCAAGGGAGCACCACTGTCTTCTTTCTCCCGTGCGGCTCTTCCTTTCCAGGCTTCATCTCAATATAGCCACATTTAGTAACATTTATCAGGTCCCTGAGTGGTGCCCTGAGCTCTTCAGGGCGAAGGCCACCCAATAAATCAAAATATCTATCACTGAAAATAACACATTAGCCAAGTGTGGAGGTACACACCTGTAATCCTAGCACTCTGGGATGCTGAGGCAGGAGGACTGCAAGTTTGAGTCCAGCTCTGAAAACTTAGTGAGACCCTACCTCAAAAAAAAAAAAAAAAAAAAAAAGGCGGGGCACGTGGCCCAGTGCAAAAGCCCTGGGCTCTAACTTCCCTACCAATAAATAAATAAACAAATTAACAAACAAATAAATAAATAAACAAACAAGCAAACACATATATGGACATACCAAATCCCATTTGTCGAAAAGAGAAGGTGCAAGCACAGGCAGGACTTAATCACCGCTCTGAGGTTACAGTGATTAGAGGTGAGGTGAGTGGAAAGACACTCTCAGCCTTACTGACTGCTGTCCTTTCCTTAGAAGACTCGTACTAACCAAATGCATCACACAAGCCTCTCTGGGGACAGTTGTGTGTCACACAGTATCAAACATCGCAAACTTTCCTCCTTTTAAATTACCTGCCTTTGAAACACTGATTATTGTGACTTTCAGTGATCAATGAGATACTGGCAGCATTTTATGGGCAAACATATCCTCCTGGCACCTGAAAACACAAAGCCCAGACCTTGCCCAACCCAGAGTACAACCCTGTCCCAGGCCGAGTGGGAACGTCAACACTTCATGCTCTCCAGGAATAAAAAGAGACTGTGGTTCATGAGAAGAACAACATGGAACACATGGTCTCATTCTGCATGCACACTAGAAATCAACCATCCACTGAAACAAAACCTAGGAAGTAAACACCCTCTCTCCTACTGCCCCTTCCCAGGAGCTGCCGACATAAACCTCATGGAGTCCAGCATGGAGACAGAGAGACCTTTCTAAACTAATTCAGTATACCATGAAAACAAAAGTCTACAAGACTAACACGAACACTGATTTTAAATTTATTATGTCTTTCAGTTGATCTCATAGGTCTTAAAAAGAGTAAGAAAATAGAAAACTGTTTTCAGAATTCTGATGTATACAGGCGCCCAGAAGAGAAATCATGGGGGACTCTGGCCACAGAATACCACTCAGCCACCAAAGACAAAGCACTTGACAGGTGACCCACTTCTGGAGGTGCCCCTCCAAAGTTCTCTTTATCTCAACTGGTCTCATTGAGCCAGAGACCACAATCAGTTGTACTTTAAATATATCACGTGCCTATCTTAACCAAGCCATAAAGATGACCTGCTACAAAATGTCTGATTATTCATGTAACATATACATCACCCTTTGTTGAAAGATCAGAGGAGGAATAAACTGAGTAAGTTTACAAGCACACAAACCTTAAAATGTAAACAGGATCATGAAAAGGAGGGAAGGCAAGGGTCCAAAGTAAAGGAGACTGGTGAGACCCAGTGAGACTCTCGCCATGTGTCCACGCCTGAAGAAAGATACTGAACCCGAGCCCCACAAACAGTCACTGACTCCACTGGCACAGGGAGGAACAACAGAGACAGGGAACAGAGCCCATGTGGTCCGCTCTTCCCAGGGGCCATTCCATCGGCACAGCAGAGGTAACGGACACACAGGAGTGTAGGCTGGTAAGAAGCACCCAGGAAGAACCTAGTCAGAATGATGTGACTTGAAACTGTCCTGCAATCCAGGAATATCAACTTTTCTCCTGCTGAAAATCAGTGTTGTGCTTTTTATAAAATAAAATCCTCCTTGACGACTAAAGCCCTTTCCTTTCCCAATTTTAGGGGAGCAAAGGCGTGAGCACAGGAATCTTCTCCCTTTTGTGTATAGGCAGTCACACAGACATCCACACGTTTGTGTTAAAGGTAAGCATCACCAAACTCTGAGCGAGGATCTGTTCCTCATGCTGCACAGGAATCGGCGCATTTAGACCACACACCATCCTGGGATGGAGGAGGCTGCTTCCCCGCAAGGCAGGGGAACAGTCAGAGAGAGGCAGCAGGCAAGGAGACAGAGATGTAAAGGCAGAGAAACACAAAAAGGGCAAAGGCCATCTAAGGCTCCCACTGGACGGTCATAGTGGACAATGATGTGTTGCCCAGATTACTTTTTGGGGTGGAGTTATGGAGCGCCCCACATGCTAGAGTACTACCCTCTGAGGAAGCAGCCTTCACTGGACAGAGCTGCCTCACCCAAGGTCACAGCCATTGCTGGGCGAAGTGGACCCACCACCCCCACAGGGGCACACAGACCTCACCCTCCGCCACACAGCACAAACCTTACTAACTTGCCGTCCAGCAAAGACCCATGAGCTGGCAGAGGTCTCATGCTCTAGCTGCTAAGAAAACAACCTTCCCAAGGAGAATCCACATCCACTTCCGGGATTTGGTTGGGACAGGGCAAGGCCCGGCTCCTTGGAACAGAATGGGACAATGCTGCAGAGCTGTCCCAGGCCAGGGCTCTACAGGGCTGGCTAAGACCATAGTTAGGCCCCACTTCTTCACTGCCTCATCGTGCCTCTTCCTCTTCCTTCAGCGGGTGTTGAAATCCTTCCTAATAAACTTCCTTCCTAACAAGTCCTTCCTAATAAACTTCTCCGCAAGAAGCACCACAGCTGAGGATGCTTCCTCAAGAACCCACCAAGCACCCCACACAAACACAGGACAGGCAAGCACCTGGGGCAGAAAGGCAGGTCTGAAGGGGAAGCCACTAGGATTTTCTTCTGATATGCTGACTTCTAATTGCCAAGGGGGCACCCCAGAGAAATGTCTCACAGGCAGCAAAGTACAAGGAGCAGGACTGAAATCAACAGACATAACTGAAATCCAAAAATAAAACCTAGGTACAGCATGGGCAGAAGGGCCCAGGGAGGAGCCCAGAAGGAAGACAGCCCTGGAATGTGGGCAGAGATGCTCCTAACCCATGGGAGCAACACAGGCCACCTCATCTTTGGTTCTGGAAGCCAGGACAGAAGGTACCTGGAAGGAGGAAATGACCAGAACTACATCAAGGGTCCCTGGGTCTCTACTTATCTCATTTCTCATCAGGATGCTGGTTACTACCCTCATGAAAATTCACTGAGCTGAGTTCTTAGGAGTTGTGCTATTCTCTGTATGAATGTCATACTTTGGCATTATGGTGGACTGACAACTGGCGGTCAACTTGTAACACCCAGCTGAACTGAACTAGTGTGGTGCTAGGTGTGGGAGGCCCACCTGGGGATTGCTGCCAGGAGCATAAGAGACAGAACTGGACAGGAAGAAGTTTGGAAACTGTTAGAGGCTCTTGGGAGCTGCCAGAAGTTTCTGGGAAGCTGTTAGGGAGCTGTGGTTCTCTTGGGCTATTCTGCTGGAGGACCTTGTCATACTGGCTTTCCTGATGAACTTGGTTGTTTTCATCAGAAGAGGAGCTAGGGACCTCGTTGTCACTGAGAATGGCTGTGGTTCACTTTGGGGGGAGTTCTGGTCCTCACTTTGAGCATCATTCCCTGGCTCCAGAGAGAAAGATGGTGCACGGCTCAGTCCCCTGGAGAAGTTTGTCACTTTGGCTTTCCTGATGGGAACTCAGCTTTCCTCATCATTGGAGGAGCTCGGGACTTCAAGCCACCCTGTTGCCGAGGGTGGCTGTGGTACTTTTCAGGGGAGCTCTGGTTCTTACTTTGAGTGCCGCTTCCTGGCTCCAGTTCAGATCCCTCAGCCTGCTAGCACAGATCTTTCATCCTGCTGTCACAGACTTTCTAGCTTCCACTACTAACCTTTGGGCCTTTCCAGCACAAATCCATGAAACAGGCCTACATTGCCATGGGCTCTAGGCCTCCAGATGAACTCATACAGGACATTACCATGGAATTCAGGCCCTCAGCTAGATTCTCTGGTCTTTAGTATGTGGACAGATTTCCTGCACTCTCTTTTTGTATATGATTCTTTGGGTGACAGTTATAAATAATCTTATAAAACATGTGTCCTGTATTATATTGTTCCTGTTGCAAAACCCCAAACTACAAGAAGTGTTTATATTTTTTACAATGCAGGCAGATGGAGGGATCCAAACAGGAGACTGAAGAGGAGACAAACACGGACAGCAGAGCCTGGTCCTCACCCACCAACAAAAAGCAGGGAGCAACACCATCTTCCCAACCTAAACCAGGGTCTCTGAGAAATCAGAATAACTCATAGTTAACAATATTCTAAAAGCAATGAACCCCAGTAACAATGAGCATTTACTGTCCAGATCTTGGCTTATGAATGCCACTCTCCAAAGAAAAAAACTGAACTCCTTAGAGAAATATCAGATCCCTGAGCTGGGGCAGGGAAGGTGTAAAATAAATCTAAAATAAAGTCACAAAATAAAGAAGTGCTTTAAAAATAACAAGGGACATGTCAAAAGCACAGGAACCAGCTTGAAAGGCTTCTACTGGGCAAATCTAGAGGATGAGCTATCAGGTAGCAATGGATAGAACCAACTGAAAAAATAAAGATCTCTAAGTCCATAAAACCACAGGTGGAGGGAAAGAAGAGAGGGAAGGAGGGAGAGAGGGGAGGGAGGGAGGGAGACAAAGCTCCTCTATATTAAAATGGTAACTAATAAATGTACAAGAAAAGGTGGACCTAGAAAATCACCATATGACAGACATAAAAGTAATAATGGACTCAAGTAGAATTCTTCACTGAATACCAGAATTGCTAAATGTGACAGGGAACATGAGGTTTACATAGAACCACATCTATAGGACTCTCACTTGTGTGCCCTTGAAAAGAACCAGTCTGAATTCGCTTACCCTGATCCGAAAGGAAGTCCAGCATGGTCTGCAGGAGGAAGGACAGGTGCCTCACAGACAGGGCGGGGTTCCCCATTCTTCGGGAGGCGTAGACCAGTTCATGGAGCAGGCGCATCTGGACGGCAGCCCAACCTCTGTGCGTGCCTGTGGCAAAAGTCACAAAGGCCATGAAGAAAATACATTTAGTGATTTAAAGACAAAAGCCTCAGCTTTCAAACTCCAGGGCTACAAAAAATATTTGCTCTGTGTTTACTGATCCTGGAAAAGAACTCAGTAGAGTGGCACATTTTTCACACATTATAAATGTCTTACACTCTCTCTCCTGTAAAGACATAATTTCAAAAATACTCCACTGAAGTAATTCTAGTAACCTTAGAATAAAAGATCGGTTTCAGTGGCATGCTTTTGCATTGCTGATATACATTTTCTCAAGAAAATACTGACATGTGATGAGCTTTCATTATCAATAACCAAAGATACTTAATTAAAAAGAATAACGTGGAGCTGGGGATTTAGCTCAGCGGCAAAAGCGCCTGCCTGGCAAGCACAAGGTCGTGAGTTCGGTTCCCGGTACCGGAGAAAAAAAACAAAAAACAAAAAAGAATAACGTTTCTCTAAATCCTAAGAAAAGTGGATAAACTATATAAAGAGATTATCAAGGGACTTTTTATGGTTGCTTCCTTCCAAAGAGTCTAGCATATTTGAAGCTAAAGGTTGGAAATTTGGCGAACTGAAAAGTATCTCCTTAAGATCACAGAAGCTTAAAGTTACCTATTCCATTTCCCTTTTGGCAACAATTACTAATCTAAGTATTTTCTATCCTAAAACCCTGCATGAAGAGAATGTGGCAACAGGAATCCACAGTGTTATGAGTCTGGGGGAAAATGACTTCAGACACAAGTTTCAGACATCAGGGTTCTGATTCAAAGATATCACTGCTTCACGGTTTCCTTCAGCTACCCAGAGTTCCTTTCTCTGGTGCATGCTCAACAGTGAGACCTTGAGACCTCCACTGTAGCACTCCCCACACTGGGCAACGGGGCATAGTCACTTTTGGAGACTGTAAAATATGGCAGGACCTAGGCATGGTGGCAGAGGCCAGCACTCAACAAGCTGAGGCAGGTGTGTTACCGTAAGTTTGAGAACACCACAGGTTACACAGTCAGTTCAAGGCCAACCTGAACTACAAAGAAATACCCTATCTCAAAAAACAACAAAACAAAACAAAACAAAAAAAAAGAAAAAGAGAAAGAGAGATACAGCCACTCCACACCCTTTTACCACAAGATTCTGATTTCAGCCCATCTGGAGTGAAGTCAGGAAATTTGAGTTCTCAACACCCCCCACACCATGACACTACAGTCAACCAGATTGGCAATTCACTGTTCCTGCTGATCTAAAACTCAGGTCGTGAAAAACATACCCAGGTGCATCCAAGCAGGCTCACAGAAAACTCTGCTCACTGAAGACTGCCAATACCTACAACAGTCAGTCACTCAAGATCTACTGAAGAACCCAACACAAGGCAGGAGCTCGAGTAGGGACAAAGGAACTGCCATGTGGGATTCAGATTCCTGTGAAAGCCAGGCAGTAAGCCCTTGGGAAGTAAGTATTCCTGCAAAAGCTGTGAGGACACAACTATGGTAACAATGGCAACAGCAGGTGGGAGTGAATGTCAACAGTAGCTGGGGTAGGCAGGTGAGAGGGTGGTATGTGAGGTGTAGCCTCCACGCAACACCGTGAAATGGAAATAAACAACAGTAGGACATGTCACAAAGCTGTGATGCCTAAAAGCAGTAACTCGTTTAAAGTGCTTTAGCAATTTACCATAAATTTTACTAATATTATGATTCAATAAATATGATGTAGTTAACACAAATGTCAACCTCTGACTTTAGCTGTGAAATGATTAATGATCCAACCTGTTCTTGTTTCATCAAGAATGAATCCTCCATTTATCAGATCTTTACTGATGTATTTATTGGGTAAAATTACCTCATTATTTGTCAGAATCCCTATCCAGGTTATTAGTTCTTGCATCTGAAGACTGTATGTGTCATCTATTATTTTATCCCCAGAACAGAGCCTGGCATGGACCTAGGTACTCAACTGATATTAACTGATAATGGAAGAGAACAAGAAAGAAGCCTGCGCCATCATCAGCATGCAGAGAAATTTCCTTCTTCTTCTGTAACCCTGGCTGTTTGCCTACCATATTATGGACACCATTCAAGGGGTTTGTCTACTCACGATCCCTACTGCCCTCTTCGCCACCCCCCTCTACATAGCTGACCACTCTCATCTCTGTATCTGCACTGCATCATGCACAAATGTGGTCCATGACTGACACAGAGAGGCACCTCTAAGTGCATGCATTTGTTTTTTTTTTTTTTCACCAATCCTTCACTGCTTTGACAGCCAGGCGTATACTCTCTTCATCCAAGGATTTTTAATGCTTAGTGGGAGGCCAGATGCATAGTTGGCACTTAACAAACACACAGGTCAAGATGAAAGCCTGATGGAAGAAAATTCTCCAGTTTTCAAACATACACACTCACATATGTGAGGCTGAGACAACAAGGCTTCTAGGATTTGCTACAAAATACTTCATCAAAGAGCAAATGAAGGAAAAAGAAGGGTAAAAATATAGCCAAAGTGGTAACATCTTGGTAACACTTTATTCTGAGTGATGGACTCTTTGCACTCTTTTCTAATTTTTGTACATCTACAATATTTCACAATAACTGAGATTCTTGAAGCTGACCAAACATGCACAAATGTCCCCATATGACAATGCATATCAGTTCCTCTTCCAGAAATCTCCTAGGATACAAAATGGCAGCACACTTCATGCAGCAAGAGGGAGGAAAGTGAGACACATCCCCGCAGTATTCCCATGTGGTCAAAAGAAGAAGCTAGACCAAATGCAAAAATGAAAAAGGAGATTTAAAGGATTAAGAAATCAATGTCATGACTAACCTAGTCACGTCTTCAAAAAGACCCAATTTTAGCTAATCTCAACACTACCATACAAGAAAATTTTCTCACATAGAAATTGGACAAATATCACTCTGCTGATTTTTTTAAATAGATAATGATCCAGTTCCTACCACAGGTGATTATGAGTAAGTCAGAGTATAAATTTTCTCAACAGTAAACACTGTGCAAGTCATAATTTCTGTATGACTCAAAGTGCTCCTCCTATAAAATATGAATTTTTTTCCTTAAGACAGATTTGTAGCATATGACTCAGTGATAAAATTCTCAACACTTGTAATCGAAAAAGTTCACCAATTTGGGGTTTATTATATACATCAAGTACTGCCATTTAGCAAATCCACTTGCCATACCAGTCTCTTTCATAAGAGTTCCTGGGGGAGATGTAATCTCTTGTTCAGGAATAGGCTAAGCAAAAGGCACAATGGAAAATCTTCACACAGAGCAACACTAGTAAGATTGGAATGATAATATGCAGTCCTGTAAGCCGGCACACACACAGAGCACACATCTGTGTTCCCACCTCAGCCTTCTATAGAACCAGCCTGTGAACATGTTCATTTAAAAGAAGAGACAGAGCGCATTCAGGACCTGGTATACCAACAATCCAACTTTTATTCACAGGTACGAGATTTTAGTAGATTTCCATTTAATTCTCTGAAAGTGGTTCAGGGCAGTATTGGAGATGGGACTTTGAAGTGATTTTTATTTTTAGTTAAGAATATAGATAGCTGACATTTACCATTTTTACTTCATTTGATCTCACTCCCTCACTCTCTTTCCCTGGCATCTTTCATGAAAATGATGCTGAATGTCCCCTCCTCAAACACAGCTCCAGTAAAATGTATTTGGAAACATACTATTTGTTTTATTTTTCAAAAGGAGTATGTTTCATTCAAAAGACTTACAAATTAAGAGCAAGAAATAAATTCTACTCAATAAATGGCCACCACAGTGCTATGGCAGCTGCTTACAGGGTGTGCCCCCACATTATACGTATTTACTCGGACACCTCCAGGACCAGCTTGGCACAGTGGCCAAAGGGGACTGCACTTTCACTGGGCTGACAGGTGACTGAGTTAGGTGGGTGCTAAGTGATCGCTACAAATGTTTTTAAAGGGACTTGTAAGTTATGAAAAATGCTAACAGAAAGAACAGGACTGAATGAAAGAGAGAAGAGAATTACATCTAGGTAGAGGGAACCCAGGGGACCTCTCTGAAGGAAGAGCACTCAGCTGGGACCTGAAGATGATGGGGCATTGGACAGGTGAGGAAGCACATTGTGGGAGGAGACCACAGACCAACTAGGATGGATAGGATGGATAGGACAGATAACCCACCACCTTCAAATATAACTTGCCTAAAGCCCAGGGGGCCTGCTTTACCCTGAGGCAAGCCTGAAGTTATATTCAAAGAACACCATAAAAAGTAAATGAAAAGCAATTTATATCTTTTCTGACATCTATCAGAAGCATGCCAAATGGGGATTCCAAAGATAGGGTACACACAAGCCTCTTAAAACACATTTTCAACTTCTGGAAAGATGGTACAGTGGTGAACCGCAGAGAAACAGCCTCTCTGAGATTTGGTGTCCCAACACTGGGATATAGCAATGTGATGAAAAGAAGGAGAGAAGTGGGCCCCTGGGACCCAGGAAGAATCTGAAGTGAGAATTGAACTCCATGGGGAGACGGGAGAGAGATTTCAATGAAGAAGAAGAAGGAGGTGGCAAACAGAGCTTTCTCCCTGAGCCCCGACTAGCTGCATAGGAGGGGTGGCTTGAACCAACAGACACATGGTGACTACTAGTGACCCCAGAGGCCTCCACAGAGAAATGCACCAGTGGAATGCAGAAGTAGACACAGCAGGCTGCAGTGGCTGATGAGTTATTTGGGTTCAGACATCCCCCAAGAGAGGGCGACTGGCTGGCACCCATCTTGGAGAGGGACCAACTGAGCTCAGAACTTAGAACAGGTACAAGCTGTCAGTGTCAGGGCTGCCAGTGTCAGGGTAAAGCTGCCAAGTTCAAATTGGCAAAAGGACAAGGAGCTGAGTTCAAGCAGGCACGAGGTACACGGAGTGCTGGAGGTTCAACAACTCAGATCCCAGCCTAACAGCCAGAAACCAGCCTGAACTCCAGTGGAACT